GGCCCGCGCCCCGCCGGCGCGATGCTCTTCTCACTGCGGGAGTTGGTTCAGTGGCTGGGCTTTGCCACCTTCGAAATCTTCGTGCACCTGCTGGCCCTGTTGGTGTTTTCCGTGCTTCTGGCACTGCGAGTGGATGGCCTCGCCCCGGGCCTCTCCTGGTGGAACGTGTTCGTGCCCTTCTTCGCTGCTGACGGCCTCAGCACCTACTTTACCACTATCGTGTCTGTGCGCCTCTTCCAAGACGGGGAGAAGCGGCTGGCAGTGCTGCGCCTCTTCTGGGTTCTCACAGTCCTTAGCCTCAAGTTCGTCTTTGAGATGTTGCTGTGCCAGAAGCTGGTGGAGCAGACAAGAGAGCTCTGGTTCGGCCTGATCGCATCTCCAGTCTTCATTCTGCTGCAGCTGCTCATGATCCGTGCCTGTCGCGTCAACTAGTCTCTCAGGGATTGGAGAAGGAGAGTTGCACAACTGAACTGCTGGACTCCTGCTGAGGCCCTACTTGCATCACGCTGGAGAAGAGACACTGGTTTGAAGGCAGCGTCCTCTTGTGCCCAGCTGAGAGTCCAGTTTTCTCTATGCCAGTCTAACATTGTTTCTTCAGCAGGATTAAAGAAGAGCAGCCTCCATCCTTGAAATGCATTTCCTGTTATTAATGCTTTGAGTAGCTAATCCTGAATTGTGATCCTAAGAAGGGACCCAGCCCAGCCGGTCCTGAACTACTCTAACAGTATGAAACTGCACATAATTAAAATGTCCTGGTGGGCTCTGAATACTCAGCATGGATCCTGGGGATGTACTTCTTTATGAAGGCGGTAAAACTGGATTAGGATTTTGTCCAGCCAGTAGCACTGAGGGAAAAGCTCAAAGCTCTGCCCCACCTCTCCCGGCATGATTATGACCCTATCTGGATATCTGCCACCTGAGAAAAGCACTCTTCTAGCAAGTCATAGCTTGGCTTCCTGTTCCAGCAGATTGCAATTTCAGGACTTTCCCACCACCTTGTGGCCAGCACCATTAGTGCATCTGGGACAGATTTAGGCCTTTCTAAGGGACCAAAGACAGAAACGGGTGCTCTGATGCTCATGGCACAGAGACTTACTTATGGAGCCTTGTGAGCAGCCCAGATTGTTGGGCTTGAGGTCTTTGGTTTGATGCCAGTTAGGTGCCAAATGAGAACATTTGCTGAGATCAAAATAAAATAAGAGAATGTTTTCCTGACATGAATATTGTCACCATACCTCTCTTGAATAAGACAAATGCTAAGATACTCCCTACTATGTGGAGTGGTAACTCATTACAGAGTTGAGGTTGTAGGTAGACCAAAAAGTGTGGTGGTGGACTTCTGGGAGAATAGGAAGTTGTCAATTCTGCCCTGCAGGATAAAGATAATAGTCTAGGACAGAGTTGACGACTTGCTAAATAGTTTGTGTGACACCAGAGCCCTTGACTTCTTGCCAGTGCATGGCTATTATTGGGGGGATCTATAGAGCAGGATTGCACCCAGTGGCCTGAGGCTATTTTTTTGGTACTGGGGATTGAACCTGGGGGCACTTAGCCATTGAGGTACATCCCCAGCCCTTTTAATCTTTTTTTTTTTTTTTTAATTTTGAAACAAGGCCTCCCTCAATCCCCAGTATCAAACAAACTCCAAAATAACAGCAAAGATGAATGTGTGCTGGGTGTGGGGAAGCACTCATGTAATACCAGTAGTTGGGGAGGCTGAGACAGGAGGATCGTGAGTTCAAAGCCAGCCTCTGCAAAAGTGAGACAGTAACAACTCAGTGAGACCCTGTCTCTAAACAAAATACAAAGTAGGGCTAGGGATGTGTCTCAGTGGTCAAGTGCCTCTGAGTTCAATCCCTGGTACCAAAAAAATAAAGTGTGACAGAGAACAAATATATGAGACCCTGGGTCTCAATCTCATCATTTTTGGGCCAAGTCATTTTTATTGAGGGTGTAGGAGGGACTGTCCTGAATGTGTAGGAGGTTTAGCATCATCCCTGGCCTCTGCTAAACTGGATGCCAGCAGCACCCTTTGCTTGTGACAACCAAAAGTTTAGCCTGATGTTTGCAAGTCCTCAACTGTCCCGTTGAGACCCACTGGGCTAAAACACCGTCTGGCCCTTTAAGAACAAGCCTGCTGACTGTTGCACCGGTACAGTAGCTTGGACAACCTTAAGCTTCATTCCCCTTTGCCTGGTCATGTTAGCCTTTGGGATACCTGAGTTGGAGACATGTGTATAGTTTGTCTCACAGCTATAAAGATGTCTCCTACCAAGTTTGGCATAAATTTTGTTAAAAGACATACAAGCTGAACATTGGAGTGGTTTTTCTTGTAGGTTATTTATTTATTTATTTATTAAATTTTATTTTTTTAGTTGTAGTTGGAGACAATACCTTTTTTTTTTTGTTATGTGATACTGAGGATTGAACCCAGGGCCTCGCACATGCTAGGTGTGCTAGGCTCTACCACTGAGCCACATCCCCAGCCCTTGTTTTTATATATGTTTGTGTGTGTGTGTGTGTGTGTGTGTATATATATATTTAGTTGTAGATGGACACAATAACTTTATTTTATGTGGTGTTGAGGATCGAACCCAGTGCCTCACGAATTTGCCTTCTAGGCAAGTGCTCTACCACTGAGCCCCAGCCCCAGCCCATAGGTTATTTATTTTTAGAGTCACTGTTTTGTGTGCTCCTGTTTTATTTCAGTAATTTGGAATTGGCATTCTGCTGCTGCAGAAGTGAGAAGCATGAGGCTTTATAAAGGTGGATTGAAAAGCTTCTGGAAGGGCTGGGGATGTGGCTCAAGCGGTAGTGCTCTCGCCTGGCATGTGTGCGGCCCGGGTTCGATCCTCAGCACCACATACAAACAAAGATGTTGTGTCCACTGAGAACTAAAATAAATAAATTCTCTCTCTCTCTCTCTCTAAAAAAAAAAAAAGAAAGAAAGAAAAGCTTCTGGAAGATTGAAATCCAGTTTTTCTCCAGCTTAATGGAGCAGTTGGGAGGGCGAGGCAGAATTATGATGGTAGCAGGGGACCCTGAAGCTGAGAAGGGACCCTTAGGCCAAAGCCTATTCCATGTCTTTGCCTAGACCCAGGTGCTGCTGGGAAGAGCTCCTGAAAGGTAAGTAGAGTGGAAGACGGTGATGTCTGTACTGAGACCACTGCTAACTATAGGATAGGTGAAGGACAGACTGCCACTTCTCTGTGCTTTCCAATTTCCCCTTCTTCCTGTTGGCTCCAAGCAATCTCCCTACTGTCCCTGGGCTGGAAAGAATATAGTGAGCATTATGCAGTCCTCCCCAGAGAAGAAAACTTGGTGTCACCAAGATACCAGCTCAAAGATGTGCCCTCAGCGTTAAAGGCACTTCCACCCAGCCTGCGGGAGGGACGTTAAACAGATAAAAGGTGTGACAACGGGCTGCTCACGTGAAGCTTCTGGCTTTTGTGATTTTCTGCATTGGAGAGGTGTCCAAGTGTGCAGGGCCCTGCGGGCCTGCTTATGTGTGAGAGCAAGTAGGCTTCCTTGGTGTGTCTCCTCGAAGATAGGTCCTACTGTAGTAGTACTGGGAAGCACCACCTGTAACAAGAGATTCACACACTTCTGAGCAATGCAGTCTGAGAGGCTGCAAAACCTAGGGTTGCAAAGAAACCCATTCCTTAGGGCGGGGCGGGGCTCAGAAGTGGTACCTACGTCTCTCAGGGGCCCTCGCCTGAGAGTCCACTGTTGTTGGACCACAGGTGGGAGGACCTAGAAGCTGTGCTGGTAGCACTCCCCACCTAGGTCATGAGGGCAGTGCAGCCTGCACTTTGTCCGCCGTCGTACTGACAGCTCCCTCGCTGTGCTCTCAGTGGATGGAACATGCAGGCTGCTTGCTAGTGTAAGTCCAGACTCAGCCAAGGTCATCCGCAGCGCGAGACTGGGGTCCGCCCGAGGGCGCTCCAGGCCCCGGCCCTCTGGCCCGCCCAAGGCGCCTGGAGCCCCAGAGCGCAGAGGCGGAAGTGGGGGCTACTAGGATGAAGTTCCAGGACCGCGGGCGTGTCCGGGGCCCTTCCCCCAACAGGGAATGGCCGGCGCCAGGCATAGTCCAATGAGGCCTCTGGAGGGCGTTCCAGGTGAGCGTCCTTCATTAGACAGCTGCTGGCCTCCTCCCCTACCATAGGTGGAGCGGTTGGGCGCGGGGCGGGTCCGAGTGCACTTGCCCAATGGGCAGCGGTCGGACATGGGCGTGGCGCGGCGCGAAGGCCGGCGCGCCCTGTGCCCGGCGCCTGTGGCTGGGGCCGTCCGCCCAGTGCCGTCCTCGGCCGCGTACCTAGCATGGCCGGCCTTGGGCGGCCGGGCCCAGGGCCGCGCGCAGCAATGCCCGCCTGGAAGCGAGAGATCCTGGAGCGAAAGCGGGCCAAGTTGGCTGCCCTGGGCACGGGTCCGGGGCCCGGCGCTGCGCCCGCGGGGCCGGACGAGCGCTTGGTGCTGGCGGAGAGCCTGGGCCCGCTGCGCGAGAACCCGTTCATGCGGCTCGAGTCTGAGCGGCGGCGTGGGGCGCGGCCGGCGCAGCAGTTGCTGGAGCTGTACCGCCGTGTGCCGGGAGTGCGCACCATCCGCGCCGACAACATACTCATCATCGAGTCGGCGCCCGGCTTCCCGCCCGCCGCGCCGCCG